AAAAAAAAAAAAAAAAACATATAGTTTTAGGCTACGCTTGGACTGAGAGATTTATTGATGAATTTGAAATATATAGATTTCATATTTACAAGTTCAAATCTTCATGCATGTTGGGACAATAGTAGAAGTTAAATAGATTTTAGTCATTATTATGAAAGATTTTAAATGACCACTCAAATCTAGTCATTTTGAAATCCAGTGTTTATCTCACCAACTCAAAGTATGATAGAGGCAACCAACTGTTTAAACTCAAAGTACAATCGGTAACCAACTGTTACAAGGAACATCATAACCGCCAAGTGACAGAAAAACGAACAACGGGGGAGTTTATTTAGCATAAGAGCTCCACCTCAACAGGGATCAACCCTAACACAAACTTCCAAACAAGCAGACAAAAACTACATAAAGGATACTAAAATAATTCACCAAGGAAGACTATCAACCAAACTAACAACAAACTAGCAAGAACCTAATTAACTATAAACTAAACTAATGCCCTCCCCAACAACCCACAAGTTGACTCACTACACCAAGAAGCATCGGCCTTCATGACAACTAAGCGAAGAAAAACCATATCGCCAAGACAAGAAACTATCTGGGCACCCCAAGCTCCACACTCCAAATGGCTATGACTATGGCTACTCAGATCTGAAGCTAAAAAGTTGAATCCACTCTTCAAACTCAACAACCAAACAGCTGGCGGTGGCCGAAAAAGAGGTCCGTCAACACCATCCCTTACATGCGGCACCCCACAACCGACAACGAGGAGAAATAAAGGATCCAACTCCGCCGTAGTTAATTCTAAATGGGTCGATCAAAATTGCAGGCACGAAATGGGCATTGACTCCAATGCCTACTCCGACAACTCCCCAGCCATAGCGAGTAGAGATGTCAAAACGGGCTTGGGCCCGCGGGCCGCCCCGCCCCGCCTAAGAGGCGAGTTGGGTTAGTATATTATAAGCCCGCCAAAGAGCGGGCCTAAACGGGCTGGCCCAAGCGGACCGCGGGCTTTGACGGGTCGGGCCTGGCGGGCCGCGGGCCAGCCCGCTGTAAAAAAAAAATATTTATTTACAATTAAATGTAATATTAACATATACATTATACATGTCTACACTACAATACACTATAAGTCTACAATACACTACAATACACTACAAGTCTACACTTACTGACTTACAGTCTTACACTACACGTTTTAATTTTTACACTCACGTTTTTATTTTTATTTTATTTTTTTCATTTAAAAGTATAGAATATTAGTAGATAAAATCATAAAATAAAATGATTGGAATTTTGAATGATGACATATTCATATACTATTTATAAAGCAGCCTGAGACCATTGAGATATTTCCATTTTCTTCACCTGTATTTAATAACAAAACAACCTTATCATGAACATATACAAAAAACCTTTAATGAAACAAAATTAATTTTT